ACGGCCACGCTGCACGTGGTGCTGGCCGACAGCTTGCAGGAGGCGCTGCCGGAGCTGAGCGAGCGGGCGGCGGGCGCCGAGGCGCCGGCCGAGCTGCAGTTCTACCTGGTGCTGGCGCTGGCGCTGCTGTCGGCGCTCTTCGTGCTCAGCGTGGCGCTGGCCGTGCTGGCGCGGCTGCGCCGGGCCGGGTCGCCCGCCGTGCTGCGCTGCCTGGGCGCGCAGCGCTTCTCTCTGGCCGGCGCCGCCTTCCCGCCCGACTTCTGCGAGGGCACCTTGCCCTACTCCTACAACCTGTGCGTGGCCGCGCCGGCCCGCGCCGCCGCCGAGGCCGCTTGGCCGCCCCCGCCGCTGCCCATCCTGCCCGCCGAGGAGCTTCTGGCCGGGGAGCCCTGCGACAAGCCAATCCTGAGCAGCAGCGCCGTCGCGGGAGAGCCGCCCACCGACTCCGATGCACCGCAGGTCTGTAAACCCCTTCACTCCTGCTCTCTGAGCTTTTCGTAAGGGTATGCAGATGGCAGTGGGCTCTTGGGGTTTGTGTTCTGGTGCAGCTAGTGCCTATCGCTTTTTCCATAGGCGCGGGTAATAACTACCCAGTTTTAGGCAGCAGGCCTTGCCAAGCTGCACTTTTTGCCTCATGAAATTCACTGATGTGGCTTATTTGGGAGGTTCTTGTCGTTCAACTTATGTTGCATAAAACCGTGGAGGACCTGTATAGTTCTGCTTCTAGGTTCTGCTCTCCTTCGTTTTCCTCTCAGAGCAGTAAAGTAGTGACTCTTTGTTCACCTGCTCAGGTCTTTCTGCAGACCTTGTATTGTGTGAAATACTATGGGTTAATAACGGTGTAGGTGGTTACTTAGAAAGCCATCTGATAATTCCACATGGTGGAGTTGGCAATAGGATTGACACTCAGTACTAAGATTTTTCCTTCCTAATCCTTCTTGACCATGTAGATGCACTGCGACCTTTTTATTATTTCGGAGTTTAAGGAAACTTGCTAGATGAAGGAAGAGTTCTTCTTTCCTAAGGAATATACCTACCTTCCATCCTGTGCCATCACAGTTTTTGGTCTAAATGGGCTACAGAAATGGCAAGCTATAGTGAGATCAGTTTATTTTATCAGAACTTTATTTCTTTGTTCTCTTTCTGCGACTATTTCTCATTCAGAGTTTGGTGGTTCCTTCCTATTTACCATTCTGCAGCTGACTTTATTACGGAGAGATTGAATGTGATCTAAAAAATGCTGAATAGCATCTCTCTAAGGCTGTGGTCAAGAATGGAGCACTAAGCTGTATACAAAAGCAGGGCCTTACGTTTAGGATGTAATGGAAAAATCGGAAGTAGTTGTTGGAGGAGAGCAATGTAGGCTGATTCAGAGCCGCCTCGGATGTGCAAGTGAAAAGTAAAAAGCAGAGAGGGAAGGGCAGGCCATAGAATCCCTGCTTTTGAGGAGGGGCCTTAATAGCTGCTATATGCAATTGCTATTGGCATGGGAATCTACTGTGGCTGGAGGTTTTTCTGTATTGACGCTCGGTGAGGAAATATTAGAGAACGAATGACACAAAACCTGTGCGTTTGCAGGGAAGATGCTGTGCTTTCCTGCCATAGATTAGTAGGTTTGTAATACTCTGCACGTCATATTAAGAGAACTTTGTATGTAGAGATTATCACAGTCACATGAATATTTTCCTGCGCGGTAGAAAGAACATAACGCCAGGTCTCCGCTATACTGGACCCGACATTTTAGTAGCGACTGTCCCGTGTTTCTGAGTTTCCCATGGGCAAGGCAGGGCGATCATCTCTCGGCAGCGCTCGGTGCCTGCAGTGCCGGGAGGAGGCTGCGGGCGCCGCTGTTGACCGAGAGGAGCGAGAGGAAGGTCGGAGCGCTGCAGCCCCGCCCGCTGCGGACCGGCTCGATCGTTGGATCGCTGGATTCCTGGGTCTGAAAGGGGTCGGTTTCCGATCGTCCCGTGGTGCGGATCTGTGCTACAGTGAGGCGGAGGGGCTGGTGGTGGAGGCCGAAAGCGGCAAGTCGGAACGGGAGCAGGAGCCGGGTCATTTATCGGCGGCGGTGATTTGCCCGGCAGTGTTGCGGTGCCGGCGGTGTTGCGGCTGCGATGTGCTCGGCGGGGAGGCGCTGGGGCCGGCGGCAGCGATTCCTGCTCTGGGGCGTCCTGCTGGCGGCCTGGGAGGCGGCGTGGGGGCAGCTGCGCTACTCGGTGCCCGAGGAGATGCCCAAGGGCTCGTTCGTGGGGGACGTGGCCAAAGACCTGGGGCTGCAGCACTTGGAGCTCGGCGACCGCGGTGTCCGTATCCTGGACAAAGGCAGGACGCAGTATTTCGCTCTGCATGGGAAGACGGGACATTTAGTGACGGCCGAGAGGATCGACAGAGAGCAGCTGTGCCGGCTGGTGGAGCAATGCGTGCTGCGCTGTGAGCTGATGGTAGAGGAAAAGATGCAGGTTTACGAAATCGAGGTAGTAATCACGGACATTAACGACAACGCACCCAGCTTCCGAGAAGAAGAAACACAGCTGAGAATAAGCGAGACGACAACCCCTGGATCGAGATTTCCGCTTCCCAGGGCTCACGATCCGGACTCTGGACAGAATTCCCTGCAGAGCTACGAGCTGAGCGGCGACGAGCACTTCTCGCTGGCCGTGCAGACGGGCCCCGGCGGGGATCAGCGTCCCGAGCTGGTGCTGGCGAAGGCGCTGGACCGGGAGGAGGCGGCGTTCCACGAGCTGGTGCTGAGGGCGATGGACGGCGGCGATCCGGCCCGGACGGGCACGGCGCGGATCCGCGTG